ACGGCCAACCGGCTGCTGGCTCACCAGCGCGTGCACGTGGACGGCACGCACGAGTGCCCCAACTGCAGCAAAGTCTTCAAGAAGGCGGCCTCGCTGGAGCAGCACATGCGCATTCACAAAGGCGAGGCCCTGTACCTGTGCGTCGACTGTGGCCTGGGCTTCGGCACCGAGATGACGCTGGTGGTGCACCGCAAAAGCCACACGGCCAACCCCCTGCACCGCTGCGCCTGCGGCAAGACCTTCAGCAACATGACCAAGTTCCTCTACCACCGCCGCACCCACGCAGGCAAGAGCGGGGCCCCGCCGGCCCGCGCTCGCGCCCCCGATCCGGAGCCGGCCCAGCCGCCTGATCCGGAGCCGGCCCAGCCGCCCGCCGCTGGGGCAGTGAACGGCTCGCCGGCGCCTCATGCCGGCGGCGGCTTCCTGTGCCCGCAGTGCGGCAAGGAGTTCTCCAGCCACATCCGCATGGTGCGGCACAAGCGGGTGGTGCACGTGCTGGAACGCAAGCACAAGTGCCCCACCTGCGGCAAGACCTTCAAGAAGCTGGTGCACGTCCGAAACCACCTGCGCACGCACACCGGGGAGCGCCCCTTCCAGTGCACTGAGTGCGGCAAGACCTTCGCCTCCCAGGCCAACCTGATGCGGCACCATCTGACCCACACCGGCGAGCGCCCCTACCAGTGCGACGTCTGCCAGAAGCGCTTCACCCAGTCCTCCAACCTGCAGCAGCACCGGCTGCTTCACTCGGGCGCCGGCCCCTTCCCCTGCCAGGACTGCGACGCCACCTTCTCGCGTGCCCACAAGCTGGCCCTGCACCGCGTCAGCCACACGGGCCAGCTGCCCTTCCAGTGCCCCGAGTGCGACAAATCCTTCGCCCGCAAGCGGCTGCTGGAGCTGCACCGGCTGGCCCATGCCGGGCGCGAGCCCCACCGCTGCCCGGACTGCGGCGCCCTCTTTGTCCGCCTGGCCAAGCTGGAGGAGCACCGCTGTGCCCACAAGAAGCTCTACCCGTGCCCGTCCTGCGGCAAGTGCCTGGGTTCCCTGGCCAAGCTGGCGCTGCACCAGCTGGTGCACTCCGGTCAGCGCCCCTTCACCTGCAGCCTCTGCGGCAAGGGCTTCACCAACCCAAGCGGGCTGAGCCGGCACCAGCAGCGCCACACGGGTGTGCGCCCCCACAAGTGCCCGCTCTGCTCCAAGACCTTCGTGGCGGCCTCGGGGCTGCAGCTGCACCAGCGCACGCACACAGGCGAGCGCCCCTTCCCCTGCCCGGAGTGCGGCAAGGCCTTCCGGCAGGCCACCCACCTGCGGGAGCACCGGCGGCTGCACACCGGCGAGCGCCCCTACCAGTGCCCGGAGTGCGGCAAGGCCTTCATCCAGTCCATGCACCTGGCCGAGCACCGGCGCATCCACACCGGGGAGCGCCCGCACCGCTGCCCGCACTGCGCCAAGGCCTTCAAGACCCTCTCCAACCTGCGCAGCCACCGCAAGACCCATGGGGCTGCCGCCGCCCCCCCAGCCCCGCCCGCTCCCCAGCCCACCCAGACCATCATGTGCACCGAGTTCGGGGAGACCATCGCCATCATAGAGACGGCAGAGCCGCTGCCCCTGGTGGAGACCATCGAAATCTACCAGGCTGCCCTGGAGGGCAGCCTCCAGGTGGACAATCTGCAGGTCAACGCCTTCGTATAGGGGCGGAGCCCCCCTGTAAATAAAAGTTCTGGTTTCGCCCGTTCGCCTGCCCTGCCCCCCCGCTGCGTCTCATCCTGGCATGGAGGGAGGGGGGGTTGCTGTCTGGGTATGGGGGCAGCGTGTCCTTTTGCCCCCCCCCCTGCTCTCCAGGCACACCCCCTATAGCAGGGTGGGATGGGCGGGGCTTTAAACTGGAGCCTTCCAAGGTTATTTCCCCCCCCCCAGCTGGGGGACTGGCACCAGGGGCTAGGCCCTTCCCTTGAGGCGATCTTGCTCTGGAAGGGGGCTGGGGGTGGGTCAAGAAACCAGCCAGGGGAAGGGGTCTCAGTAGGAATCCCCTGCCCCACAGCTGCTCCTTCTTGCCAAATCTGTACCACCCTTTGCCCCTTTCTTTGCCAGGGTGTGGGGCTGGGCAGTGGGGCAGGTGCAACAGACTTGGGATTGGCTGGGGGGATGCCAGCATGGGACCCGTATGGCTTGGTGTGCACCAAGGAGATGGGGGGACTGGTTCAGGAAGGCAGGGAATGGGACATGGGGCCTGTCCCCTCTAGGGGGCACTAGCTCCCATCTGCCCCCAGGGCAAGGAACTGGCATGGGGGGGCAGAAATGGGGCAGGCTGCTGCCTCAGACCCATTTGGAGAGGCCAAGCAGCCTGTGACCTCAGCTCCGGCGTAGGCCCCCTTCCTGGGCTAGCCCCAGAGCCAGGGCCTCCCCCAACCCTTGGCATATGGAGAAGGGGGAGCAGCAAGCCCAGCCTTGGACCTGGCTGGAGGGTGCCCCACACTCCCTGTAGAGCAGGTCGGGCAACACCCGCACCTTCAGCTGGGTGACCACCTCCATCATGGGGGAGACTGACCCTTAAGGGTTCTGAGGCAGGACAGAGCTGGGGAATGAACCCAGGAGTCCTGGCTCCCACCCCCTCTGCTCTAACCCACTAGCCCCCAGAGCCAGGGAGAGAACCCAGGAGTCCTGACGCCTGCGGTTCCAGTGCAAGGCGCCATCTCCCAGTGCTGGAGGCCAAGGCTCTCAGCGGTTACTTGCTGAGGGAAGGGCCCCTGCCATGGGGCTGGAGCAGCCAAGGGGCACTAAGCGATCCCCTCCGGGGTGACCCTACTCTTGTCCCTGCAGCCTGAGAACTGGTGCTGAGGGGAGCTGCTCCCCTTTTCCTCTGCCCGTGTGTGTGTGGGGGGGGGGAAGGCACCCAGGCTAACTCATGAGCTGCACCAGCTCCATGGTTATTAGACCTAGGGTGGGGCATTAACAGATTAACCTTTGGAGGTGGGCAGCCCCCCAGCAACAGGCGCAAACTCAGGCAGTGTCACCCCGTCAGTCCTGCTCTCCTCCCCCCCCCCAACAGACTCACGGAGTGTCACCCCATCAGTCCCCCCCAGCAACAGGCTCCCCACAATATCAGCCACCCCCCCCTTGACCCTCCCACAGGCTCTCCCCAGACCCAGGCAGAGGCACCAGCAGGGCAGCTCCCCACTCTCACCCCCAGGGGCTCAGGCTCAGTGGTTTACCACCCCCACCCCCCCAAGCTTGGATCGTAACAGGGTGGCAAGAGGGCCACTCATTCTGCACCCCCAGGATCCAGGGGTGCCCACAGCCTAACCCAGAGGAACAGCAGCAACAGGCCAAGCTGAATGCTCCCCCTCCCCCTGGGGGAAGACTGTCCCCAGGGCCACGCATGGGGCAGCCGTGATGAGCTGCCAGACCCCCCCACACAAACAGGGACAGAATCACAGCCCAGTGAAACAAGCTTCCACAAGAGCCAGCCCAGGGGTCCCCCAGCAGCCCCACGCTCCCCTGCGTCTTTTCATGCCAATAATTTATTGAACCGGGTGCCTGTACAGAGCCAGAACGTAAGAGAAACTAACACACATTTCGGGGGGGGGGGGGGCAGGGCACTCAGATTAAGAAAAAATCATCTATGTACACAGCGATCGGTAAAAGAAACTGGTTTACGGGGAGGGGTATTTACAGGGGGGGCAGGCAGGAGGGGAAATAAAAACTCTCCCCCCCCCACAGAGCTGTGCCCTTCCCACAAAGGAGAGAGCCTTGATCATGGGGCTTTTGGGGGGAATGCCCAGGGGACACCCCATGTTCAGACATCCATCCATTCCTGACCCACTGCAGGATCCCACATGCTGGAGACCCCTGGCACGGGGGAAGGGGCACCCATCTCCCCTATGAGGGGGGCCAGGCCCTGCGCCCCATGCAGGACAGCAGCATAGGAGAGGAGGGGGGCAGTGGGGTAGGATGTTAAAAACCAAAAGCAACTTAAAATCCAGGGGGCCCGAGCCCCCCGGCCCCCAGCCCCTTGAGAAGGTTGGGCTGGGAAAGCAGCGTGACCAGCGCCCCCCCCGCACTGAGGCCTGGTGGGTTAGCAAGGGGCAGCGTCGTCTCTGACTGGCTGCCCCCCAGCCAATGGGAAGCAGGCTCCGTGTGGTCCGTGGGCACCGCCCCCACCCAGTTCACAGTTCAGACAAGTCCATGGGGTGGCCTAGGGGTGGGGAGGGGGCCTGCCCCCCAGCCCAGCCCCTCAGGACGCGTTGGCGATGGGTCCCGCGCCGTCCCC